TAAATTAATAATAAATTTTATTATTAATTAAGACCCGTTACGAATAATTTACACAAAAAAACAATTGACATGATTGTGACCATGGGAAATATTTGAACAAAAATCATCGTCAATGATCTCATTAGCAAGTTTTTGCAAAGTCAAATACATTATTCTTACCACACGTAAAGGAGTTATTTTTCATTTTCGTGATTGTATGGCTTAAGTATATGGACTTGGCTATGGTACTCGGCAAAAAAATTCAGTATTGCATTTTTAAAATTTATTATTTTAATAATATTACAGATCATTTTAAACTTAAAAAAATATTATTTCTATGGACAATTTATCACTTTTGTAAGTATTTTTATTACCGTTGTGAATATTTTTACTATCGTTTTTTTGATATCACAATAGTGATAAAAATACCAACAATAATAATAAAAATACCTCATAAATGTTACAAATATTAGTACAATATCCAAATTTTTATTTTCGGAACCGTAGACAAGTCTTAAGTATGTATTGACATTTCCCGTGTAAGAAAGCTATTAGGTCAAAGAATCTATAATTAATTAGGTGCGGCAGATTTGGCGGTGCCAACATTTTGGTAAATTGACGTAGTTTTGGTAAATTGACCACCCAATTTGTTAGTTAATTTGATTTGATTTTCAACGTTTAAGATGTTCTAATCATACTGACCCAACACATGCTTCCTTCTTAATTAAGTATATCATTATATCAAATTTAGAAAGCTTCAAATTGTTAAGTCTCTAATCAATAACGTACCACAACCGCCTCTCTCTCTCTCTCTCTCTCTCTCCTAAATTCAATAGAGGCACAACCATGGCTTCCTTGTACGCCAACTAATACTTACAAGAATAGAATCACAACATTAAAGATCCCATCAGGAATTTGCTAGGGTGCACTCATATTCCNCAATAGATGCACAACCATGGCTTCCTTGTACGCCAACTAATACTTACAAGAATAGAATCACAACNCCTAAATTCAATAGAGGCACAACCATGGCTTCCTTGTACGCCAACTAATACTTACAAGAATAGAATCACAACATTAAAGATCCCATCAGGAATTTGCTAGGGTGCACTCATATTCCTAACCCATACTACTAATTACATTTGTGTACACATGGGCGTAGCAGTAACAGCGATGTATAGTTACATACAAGTAGAGATTTCATACGGTAAGTAATGTCAAGTTACAACTCGGACCATTCCAAAAGAGGTATCTTTTGTCTAATATAAGATGTTGTTGTCCTTTTGCATGAACCCTTCGTGGGGTCACTGGAAGTCCAAATAATTGGAAAACACCAATTCAGGTGGCTGATATTTTGGTTGGTCCACTCGAAAGAAAGTGGTGAATCGAAGGGCCCCTACTAGTCCAGTATCGAACAAGCTTTCTTGTCAGGTACTGAAGAAAAGCTTTTTGTGTGTCCTTTTGAAAGCTATTGATTTCACCATCTCGTACAACGATAATGTTAAGGAATTGACAAGTTGTTAAGCAACTCAAGATTCAGTAATTGAGACTTGTATAACGTTGATCTCCAGTAATATGTTTCAGTTAGTCTAAAGTATGATATATCTGGACATACTTTAGACCATGTATAGTATAACACCTACAAGCCTCGTATATATAGATATATACTAATGTCCCATTGGTGAAGTGGAACATGGTGTAGGTTATATCTTTGTTAAGATTCTAATATATTGAATAACAATTGTTCTCGTGGCTATTGAGTACCGAACCACGTAAATCTGTCTATTCTTTGATTGTTTTTCTATATTACTACTAGTTCACAATAAGGTATGTTTTACAATACAAGTACACGGCTAAAAGAGAAATCAATTACCAAATAAAAGATATTGAGTCTTTTGCCCAAGCCCTTCTTCCCAAGCTTAGTTCTGATATCATATTCATTATTGAAGTTTACAAAACAATTGGTATTAAGTTTAGAAGATATAATTTTATCGATGTGAGACATGCTCTAACACAAACACATATGCACGTATGGTGGATGGATTGGAAGAGAGGCGGTAAGGGAAGAAAAACTAGAANATATGCTCTAACACAAACATGTATGCACGTATGGTGGATGGATTGGAAGAGAGGCGGTAAGGGAAGAAAAACTAGAACGAATTGAACGTGAACAATTTGGTTGAAAGGTAACTACATAAACAAACAAAGAGGAGATCAGCTAATTAACAGTATTCACTACCTGAACAGATTATAGAGGTGTTAATTAACTGTAACATACAAGCAAGTTGTCCTGAAGATAAGGTTAAAAATAAAGTGAGAAAAACAAAGAAGACAGCTACTGAACTGTTTTCTTCACCTGAACTCAGAAATCTGAACTTCTGTGAAGTTTGAAGCAGTATTAAAGATACACAAGTTGCACAGGACAGTTTCTGAAACTCTCTTTCATAGCATGAATAGAAGTATTAAAGATTGGCAAGTTGCTTTGAAGATGATAAACTTGTTTGAGATGCACAAACCCAAAATAGATTGAACAGATTCTGCATGTGTTTAATATAAGTCCCAAAGAGATATAGTTTTGACAGATAAGGACGTATCCTATTGTTTGTGTTGCAATGTTCGCATTCTTTACAAAATCTATGTCATTGCTCTAGCCTATGCATATACACGTCCTGAGAAAGTTAAGTAGAAATCAAATTGATCTGCAGATGCTCCAGCGCATTGTGTTGTGGACTGGTTTGATAATTAAACCATAATATCTTTGTCATTGATGAGCTGGAATTCAAGTTAAAGTATCTGTTTCAACTAGTGATCCGAGACAATAAGTGAGTTAAACCATCAACTATCCTAAACGATTAAGTTGTTAGAGAGTGGTGTCATAGAAATATGTATCTAATACTCCCTCTCAAGTGCCACTCTTCTTGTGTATATTTCTTAAGGCGGCGTGCTGTGATTTGAACTTGAAATCTTTAGACTCTGATATCATGTTGAACTACTCCATGCTCTAACACAGAGGTTTTCTGAACGATCGATCCACCTGCAATTTGGTTAATATCCGAAAATTATGCCGATTACAAACACAACAAATGAATAAACTATGAAACTGTAACCTGAAATGAGTAATTGATTTGAAGGGTAACTAGCATAAAAAATATAGCACATGGAATGGATCAAAAAATGGTGTTCCTGTCCAGACGGGTCTTTCAAGAAGTTGTAAGTTTACTGTTGTGGGTAGGAAGAACTTCATGGACAATGAGTCTTGTAGTTGGATTAATATAACCAACTATTATTAGCATGTGGAATGGTAATAGATATAATCCCACTTGTTTAATTTATTATCATACCCTTCAGGTGATTACAGTAAGCAACTAACCACTATTCACTATACAGGTGCTTAGTGTTCAGGTTTGTAGAGTTTTTCAGGGAGCATGTGAAAGCTTTTGTACCCAAAAAAAGCCCCCCTCCCCTGGCCTGATCAGTTGGACTGAAAGAAATTGCTGTTAGTTTGCCACTTTTTTTCTTTCGGATGAACTCACCAGACCGAAAACAATCAATTTTTTTAGCCCAAACAAGACACTCAATTCTATTTTGTGTAGGGCTCAGGAAAAAGACCAGCAGGCCGTATGAAGGCCGTTAGCCTTGTGGCCCAACGGCAAATGAGCAGGCCCAGCCAATATTTCTGAATGTTTCAATCAAAGTTGACAAAGTTCCTTCCAATTTTGAGTGAGACATGTTCATTTGTATTATTTTTCTATAAGGAGTGAAACATATTCATTCTTCATTATATCAACCTCTGAAACTTACCCCCATCAGCTTAAACAAGAGATGCTTGAAATTGAAGGAAGAAGTAATTTCTCAAGCAACACCACAGCAAAAGACGCTGATGCAATGTTGAGCAACTAATGCTATAAACCATGACTCCTTATGTGGTTTATCTTCCAATTTGGTGGTGTTTAACATGCAATAGTTTTAATCCTTATTTTTGGAGGAGTCTAGTGTCGGGGCAGATAGAGAAACAAGCATTTGGTTTAGTTTAGCATAACTTCATCATCTTCTTGATGAAGCCAAGCCAAGAATCAATAAGCTAATCCCAGAATCAGTCTGTTTAATTAACGCCCTTCTTGTTGTGTATGCGATGTTTGTATAGCTCCATACATGCCCTGCTTCACGTCAACTTCCCTTATCAAATCCATGCACAACAGCAACAAAACTTGGGAGTTGAAGACCAATTTTCATATTTATCCTAGCAACATTAATTTCCCCAATAAATGGTTTAGAATATTATGACTGCCTGGCCTTCTGCTATACCTACTTTAGAACCTTAATTTTAGTTACCATGTCCTGTTTAACATAAAATCAGTAAAACCAAGTGCTTGAATTCACATTTTTTGAGTCCTTAGTTCTTCTTGAATAGGCCAACACTGACTCATCAAATGGTGATTCAGTAACATTCCTATTTAAAAAACTTGGCTTTCATTCATGGAATTTCAATTACAATCAAGCAAAACTGTTGGTTAATTCAAGACTCCCAAACATTCATTTCTCCTTCACAATTCAAGACTAATTAAAAGAGTATATGTCATGAAAGTCAGTAATAATGATTATATAAACATGGTCTGAAGGAAACAAACAGATTACATCATTTGAGCACACAATCAACTCCACATTACACCTTTCAGATGTTACAAAAGAGTGATAACCAACATTAGCAGAAAAATGTGGCCCTCCCCATGATGATTTATACAACCAAAATACCAAAAAGCTCTCCTAATTAGTTTCTACTGCAAATCATGAATGTGGCATCAACCGATACACAGTATCATTTAGCAGCACAACTGATTATTACCACCAAGAACAAAGAATCAAAATAAAGAAGATTTGAGTTAATCACTACAACGTGGAGATCAATATGAACAGTGGCTTTAGCACTTGCACAAAAGTTTTCTGTCCAAGATATGCTAGAAATCAGAGGATAGACAGCCTCATTATCGACCAACTAAACCCCAAAACCCCTCATTGATTCATCAATTGATAGCCATTTTGGATCGTTCAAATTCACTTAGAATTGCATGATCTCGAAACCCAATAAGGAATTGGGCAAGTCCTTCAAGAAACAGAGCAGCCTGATAAACATTTGTAATATTCAGAATCTCTGTCAAAACACTCCTCCTCAGCCTATTGGCATCCATAAAAACACTCATCATCTCCTCCATCTCCGCCACCACCGCCTTCCCAACGGCCATTTCAACTCCCTCCTTCCTCCCTTCACACTTCCCCCACTCAACCCCAACTCTCTCAACAAACTCAGCCTGCACTTGTCTAGCACGCGCCACCAGTGCTGGCACCATAAGCCTCAACCCACATTCAATCTGGTCAATCTTGGCCATCAAAGTATTCGATGGAGTCTTCCATGCCATCACAATATTCCAAGGCTTATCAAAAAACTCCGAACTTTCGCCAATTTGAATCACACTCTCAGTTTCCTCCTCATCATCGGTGTCTTGATCGTCAAGAAACGAACGGAGGAGGTTGGTGAAGAGATAAGGGTGGAAATCACCGAGCCAAAGGAAGGGCTTTTCGAGGGTGGTGCGCCACTCGGGGAAGAGGAGTTGAGCGACGTCGTTGGAGGCGGCGAGGTCGAGGGTTTCGTAGTAGGTTTGGAAGTGGTTGTGGATCATCTCGACGTGGGTGGAGAGGAGGGTGGAGGAGGACAATGACATAGAGCGACGGAGTTGTGGGAGGAGGGTGTTCTTGAGCGTGTTGAACCAGTCGGTGTAGTAGTCCTTGAATGGGCGTGTGGTCTTCTTGCGGCCAAAGAAAGCTGATTTCACAGATAGAAAAGAAGAAAATCAGAGGAAGCAGAGAGGGCTGTGTGTGTGTGTGTGAGAGAGAGAGAGAGAGGGTTACCTACGGCTTTGAACATCTTGGGAAGACGTGATTCTTGAACATGCTCCTGGGTGGTTTTCTTCTTTGGCAGAGAAGAAAGAAAGAGAAGGGCAGAGACTAGAGAGGCTCTGGCCTCTGGGTTTGGATAAGTAGGAGTCGATATAACTGAAGTTCTTGGAGATGGAGGGAAAGGGGTCTCTCTCCTCTGTACGAGTAAATACTGGGAGAAGTATTGGAGAGAATATTCATTACATCATTGTCAATCGAGTATGTCCCTATGGGTTTATCCGTAGCTAATTCTCAATTGTTGATAGTCCGTCTTTGATAATATCCCTATTGAACACCCCTATCGAACACTCCGTCAATCGAGTGTTAAAGTAGACGTAAATTATCTCGAATATCCTGTTGAACAAAAAAAAGTTGTCCCTCTGGTCACATTTATAAAGAAATTTTCATATTTACATGTCTTTTTATGTATTCAATTCCATTTTTTGGGGGGTGAACTCTTCGGTTTCTCCTTTAAATAGTCTGTTCCTACGGCTCTAAGGAAAGCTGAGAAAATGGTGGAGAAAGTAAGCATGGGAAAGAAAAAAGAAAGTCATCACTAGAGAGTATACCATCAATCTCGACAAGCTCTTGCATGGATGCACATTTAGGAAGAAAGCTCCAAAAGCCATCGAGGAAATCAGGAAGTTTGCCCAAAAGATGTTACCAATGCCATACTTTCCTTCTTTGAGACTGGCAAACTAGTTCAGGAGGTCAAACATTACTATTATTGCTCTTATTCCTAAGGTCGTAAACCCTACCAAGTTGAATGATTATATGCCCATTTCGTGTTGTAATGTAATTTACAAATGCATACCCAAGATCATAGCAAATAGATTAAAGGAAACACTCTCTAACCTAATTGATAGATCACAATCTGCTTTTGTATGGAGGAGTTTACCGGACTAATAAGATTTGTCACTCAGCAAAGGGGGTATGAATACCATTGGAGATGCAAAAAAGAGAAGATTTCTCACTTGTGTTTTGCGGATGACTTGATGACTTTTAGCAAAGGTACCTTTGAATATATCATAGCAATTAAAGAGGTCCTCTGAGTGTGTGAGATTTTCTCAGATCTCAAACCTAACCTAGCAAAAAGTCGAGTTTTCTTTTGTAGCATTCAGCCAGAGTTAAGGAATCAAATTGTGCAGGAGCTGAGATTTACATCTAGGGAGCTGCCAATCAGGTACCTAGGGGTGCCATTAATATCCACTAGTTTCAAGGCAGTGGTTTGCCAATCCTTAATTGAGAGAATAACTGAAAGGGTTAGATCTTGGAGTAGTAAATTCTTATCGTATGCAAGAGGAGTTCAGTTGATAGATTTTGCACATTTTGCCATCCAAACCTTCTAACCTTCCTTGTTTATTATTCCAAAGAAAGTCATATTGATGATTGAGCAAATTTTGAGGCCATTCATGTGGTTTGGAGCTGACATTAAACCTAGTGGTGCTAAAATTGCATGGGGAGCTGTTTGTCTTCCCAAAAAGGAAGAGGGTCTGGGGATTAAAGGAGTCGATTAGTGGAATAATAAAGCAGCAGTATTGAAGCAATTGTGGAATGTTACCACTAAAGCTGGTAGTTCAATTTGGGTTGATTGGATTGAAACACACTTGATAAAAGGAAGATGTTTCTGTCATCATAAGGTACCACCAAACTCTTTGTGGGCTTGGAGGAAGTTTTTAAGCCTTGGAGCCATATGTTTGCGATTAATCAACTATAAAATTGGTAATGGTAGTTTTGTATTCCTTTGGCTAGACCCCTAGCATCCGTTAGGGCCAATCTACAATAACAAGAGAGATGGGGGTGATTAGAGAATTTGAACTTGAATTGGAAGCTAAGGTTAGCAGGATCATAGCTGGGACTGATTGGTCTTGGTCAAAATTATCAACTAATATTGATCTAGTGGAATTTAGAGAGGAATTCCACCTACTATGAGACCACAGCCTCACCCACACTTAAATTTAGCACCAACTCAGATTGGGAAGCAATCAGAAACTGGGGCCAAACTTGTGATTGATCAAATGTAGTTTGGTTTCCTGGAGCTGTGCCAAGGTGTAGAATCATCCTATGGCTAGCTGTGCAACAAAAATTGACTACACAAGATAAATTTATCTCATATGGAAGTCTCCAAAGAGCCTTCTGTGTGTTTTGCAAGGACGTGACTAAATATCATAACCATCTCTTCTTTACATGCTCTTTCACTAATCGAATCTGGTTGTCCATTGAGAACAAGCACAATGTTTAATGGCCTAGTTTAGATTGGCCCCATCTTATCCAATGGTTTGCTGCCTATATGAGGAGCAAAGGCTTGTGGAAACTGATTGACAAACTCATCTTGTTCCCCTTAAGTTATTCTATTTGAAAAGAAAAGATGATATCACGATACTATTAGTCTGACGAGATATGCTTTTTTGTAACTATATAGTGATCCTTTTGCTTTGGTATGGATAGCTTTTGTGCATANATTTATTCTATTTGAAAAGAAAAGATGATATCACGATACTATTAGTCTGACGAGACATGTTTTTTTGTAACTATATAGTGATCCTTTTGCTTTGGTATGGATAGCTTTTGTGCATACTCAATAAATTGCATCATCATCATCATCATTTTTGTCAGATATACTTCCACAACCCATTTTTTGTATTGATTTTTTGAATTTTGTTTCGATATACGACATGATTGAATATGAACGGTTGTTAGATTTTTTTATATTCTATACTAATTAAGCATTTTTCTTAGAAGAAAACTAGGTTTTTCTTTGTATTTTTACTTTTAGTCTAATATATGACAAAATACATCATGATTGGTTTTAGTACAATGTTTTTATTTGAGTTTCTTTGTATTTGTATTGAAGAATATTTTTAACCTTAAAAATGCATAGAAAGGACCAAAATTAGCAAGACTTCAAGTATAAAATTATAAATAGTAAGAAAAATGCCCTCTGTTCATTGTCACCTTCACCACTTTGCTTTCTAATATGCAGATGTGGTATTTATCTACTCATTCTCCAACCTCAACAGTCAAACGAGTCATGCAAAATATGATAACTTCATAACATTCTAATGGTCAACTTAAAGGACGTTGCCAACAGGAATTTATGTGTTACGGGCTCATAAATCTTAAAGAATTTTGATATAATATTTCAAACATGAGGGAGTGTATGTTATCTAGTGACAAACCTCAAAGAATTTGAATGTAATTTATCCTTTTAATTATTAATAAAATTTCAAGTTTCTTGACAAAAAAGAAAGGAACAGTCCGTACTATTTTTTTTAATGTTAATTTCACCTTATCTATATGCATATTACCTTCTTTGTATCTTCGTTTTATAAACAACTCTTGTTTTTTTTTATTCAATGGTCAAGGTATCTGAAACAACTTACGTTCCTCAATTAATCTTCTTTCTGATTCGGTCAAAGACAAGTTATTCACGTCAAGACTATTCATAAGATATTAATTTTTCATCCCTATTACTACTTGAACTAGTTAGAATTTAAACAACTCTCGTTTGAAGTGCTCTTTTCAATTTCATTGGAAAAAGATTTTATGTTCCATTTAGATATGAATATTGAACTAAACTATCATTATAAGTGAAAGGTCGTAAATGCCGCCGCATTTGGTGGGGAGCTAATAACCAAGAGTGGTTGCTACACCGACAATTGTGGTGGTCAATCTATAAAGCACGGATACTTTGAAAGAGTCAAAGTATCGGTATCGGATACGTTTTAGATACGGATATGTCTTCGATACGGCCAGATACGCATCGAATACGACTGAGAAGTATCCTAAAATTAAAAAAATTAATTTAATTTTCAGACAGGATCAGATACACTTTAGATACGGATGAGATACGCTTAAGATACTCTTCGGATACAGCAGGGTATTACTTGAATTTTTAAAAAAATATAGTGGCACATGAGCAAATATGTTTAGGCCCTCATTTACAAATATATTATAAAACCCTATTTTCTTTTATGTCATAGCCCCCCCATCAGTCGATTGTCTGATTCTCTCTCTCTCTCTCTCACTCACTCGCTCACGATTGACGACTGACTGTCTTTGATGCCGATCGACAACGGCCGACGGGTATTCCTCTTCCAACGACCTGTACATCCAATCTCTTGATCGACGATAGCATCTCTTGAAGACGAAGAATATCCTATCTCTCTTTGAAACATCCTATCAGGTAAGCTCTCTCCTCTCTCTTTATTTTTCTGTCTTACTGGTAAATGATTAGCACTCATTTTTATCCTTGAATTAGGGTTTGCACTTTTCAATTAAGGGGTTTTTTGGTGGCCTTGAATTAGGGTTTGCAATTAGGGGTTTTTTTTTTTGGAGTAAGTTGGAGAACAAACTATACATATACAGATATATTACTGCTGAACTAGGTTTTTTTTTTTGGGCCTTGAATTAGGTTTTTTTGCACTGCAATTTTAGATGCCCTAGCCAAACTGATTCCGTGATTTTGTGGTTCTATGCTTATTGTCTGGTTCTATGGTTCAACATAATCAGTTCCTTCAAGAACTAATTCCAAATTTCTGCATAGTGCACACTGCATACATAATGCTTGGTTCAAAAAATTAGATGTGCAATAAGATGGATGTCCTAAAATTTTACTGCTACTAAATTTTACTGCACTGCTGATTCGTTTTATTAAATTAATAATTATAAGGGAATGAATACGGGTACAAAAAGTATGGGCTCAACTAGTGGAAGTGGTAGCGCCACTCAAGATGATAATGCTCCTATTTGGGGTTATGTTACTAAACTAGAAAAAATGATAGAATAGTTAGTTATTATTATATATCTTTGGTAGATGTATGATTCAATTTATAAATCATAATTATTACATTAAATATAATAATATAATTTTTAAAAAATATATAGGGAAAATTTCAAGCACACCCCCTGTAATTTATCATATCTTCAAGGACACCCTCTCTAGTTTTTGAATTTTCAATAACACCCGTGTTAGATTAAAAATATTAAGTAGAATGCAATTTTACTAAATTACTCATGATATATTTGAAGACAAACTTCATCCACATCATATCTAGATAAACATATCTTCAATGAAACCCCCTCTAGATAAGTATATTTTCAATGAANCCTCTCTAGTTTTTGAATTTTCAATAACACCCGTGTTAGATTAAAAATATTAAGTAGAATGCAATTTTACTAAATTACCCATGATATATTTGAAGACAAACTTCATCCACATCATCTCTAGATAAACATATCTTCAATGAAACCCCCTCTAGATAAGTATATTTTCAATGAAACCCCCTCTGTTTTCTTTTTTTTTTTTACATAATTAAATTCAAATCGATTAAAATTCGATTCAAGCTAATTAAAATTTATTTTTTTACATAATAAAATTTGTACCAATTAAAAATTATATTTTTTTTACGTATTAGAATTTGGGCTAGTTAAAATTTTGTTTGAGCCAATTAAAAACTATTTTTAATCGACTCAAACCAAATTTTAATTAATTCGCATTGAATTTTAATCGGCCTAAATTTTAATATATAAAAATATATGAATTTTAATTGCCTTAAATTTTAATAAATCTAATTTTAATTAACACAAATTTTAATAAGAAAAAAATAAAAAGTATAATTGACTCGAAAGAGAATTTTAATCAGCCCCAACAACTCGGATAGAGTTCAAATCCGCTCAAATTTTAATATGTAAAAAAAAAAATTAATAGGCTCGATTTGTTTTTTAAAATTTACTAATTAGTAAATAAAAAATTAGTATTTACTAACAAATTATTTACTAAAATTGTTATTTATGATTTTTTTTTTTAAATTTTAACAGCTCGAATTTTAATAAAATTTTATATAAACAAATTACTTGAGGTTATGTAGGGACATTTTTGGTATTTTAGATGAATTTATTTTGTTATAAATAATAGTTTAATGGTATGAGGTGTTAGTGATGTTTAAATTAAACTAGAAGGTGTCTTTAAAGATATGATAAACTAGAGAGGGTGTCATTAAAAAAATTTTAAATATATATTTTATAGACGTATCTTAATCGTATCCATATTCTATTTTTTTCAATTTTGTCAGCTGTATCTCGTATCGCCGTGCTTCATAGTGGTCAACACATATAACACTCCTCAAGGTTGTTAGTCCGCCACCACCTCTTTTACAGTTTTTTTTTTTTTTGTTTCTTTTACAGTTACTTACCCTTTCTCTTCTTAAATGTTTCTGTTCTAAATGTCACTCCCTTGACCCCTTTCTCTCTTTTCTCAGATCTCTTTGAACACAAAAACTCAAACAGAACAAACCAAAATCCACCATTAAAATATACCTCATCTTCTAACTAAATTGACAAGAAAAAAGAAACCAAGAACAAAGTGTTTTTTTATCAGTACAAATCAAAAACAGTGACACCGTACAAAAAGTCCAAAAGCAATCACTGTAATGGTGGAACACCATAGAGGAAAGAAGAAAAAAAGACCACCTTTCTCTCTCATCGAACTCTCTCTCTCTCCATCACCCATCTCTCACCAATAATCCCCACCCCTCACAACCATGTCCAGACGCAAATTGTCAACACTCACTGTCATCACCACCACCATCTTTTTCTTCTGCTTCCTCCTCGTCACAACCAGCACCACCACCACCAAAGCCCAAGAAACCGATCTTGAATCTGAATGCACCAACAAATGGATCCACATCCGCGACCTCCCACCCCAATTCAACCTCGACCTACTATCAAATTGCTCAGAATACCCAATTTTCGACGACTTTTGCCCCTACATTTCCAACCATGGCCTTGGCCAAAAAACCCATAACAAATCTCACAGCTGGTACCGCACAGACCCTTTCATGCTCGAACTCATTTTCCACCGGAGAATGCTCGAATACCCATGTCTTACCTCCGATCCCAACTCGGCCAGTGCCATCTACATCCCCTACTATGCCGGCATAGATAGCCTTCGTTACCTCTATGGCCCTGAAGTCAATTCAAGTTTCGAGCACGGCCTTGATTTGTTTCAGTATCTTTATCAAACAGATTCACCGGCAATATGGAGAAAAAATTCCGGTCACGACCATTTTTTGGTGATGGCACGTCCAGCGTGGGACTTCAGCCAACCTTTATCTAATGATCCACCAATATGGGGCACTTCATTTCTTGAATTGCCCGAGTTCTATAATGTTACTGCGTTAACATTGGAAGCAAGAGCTTATCCATGGCAAGAACAGGCAATTCCATATCCAGCTTCATTTCATCCTCCAAATATGGCGCTTTTTGAATCATGGGTGAGTAGGGTGAGAAGGTCTAGACGTACTACATTAATGTTGTTTTCTGGTGGGGGTGGATTTTCAGCCAATCCGAATGTAAGGCGGAGTATAAGGTTAGAATGCGAGAATAGTACTAGTAGGGATGTTTATGATAGTGGGTATTCACAATTGTGTGAGTTTGTGGATTGTTCTGATGGGATATGTGAGCATGATCCAATTAGGTTCATGAGGCCAATGTTGGAGGCTAGTTTTTGTTTGCAACCTCCCGGGGATACACCGACGAGGCACTCCACATTTGATGGGATTCTTGCTGGTTGTATACCTGTTTTCTTCGAGGAATTGTCTGCAAAAAGGCAGTATGGGTGGCATTTGCCGGAGGAGAAGTTTGAGGAGTTTTCTGTGTTTATTCCCAAAGAGGATGTGGTGTTTCAAGGTCTTAGCATTGTGGATGTGCTGATGAGTATACCAAGATCTGAAGTTAGAAGGATGAGAGAGAACGTCTTAGAGAGGATACCTAGAGTTATGTACAGGAAACATGGAAGTTCACCGGGTTTGCGGACTAAAAAGGATGCATTTGATATTGCAATAGAGGGTGTTCTGCAGAGGATCAATTCTAGACTTCAAGAAGCTACAGCTTAATGACTCTCACCCTGTTTATCCTTCTTCTAGTAGTTCTGATTACTGTTTTTCCTTCTTTTTTTTCAGTATTTATTCACTTGTAAAGAGAAATTTTGTATTCAATATTTCCACTTATAATAAATAATCTAATTATGGCAGCTTGTGGTCTGTTTCTATTTTTATTTCAATGGATAGCCTGTTATACTGTTCATTGGGTCCTAAGTATTGACACAGAATGACAGAAAGTCAAAACCCATTTAACACAACAATACAAATAAGCCTGTCTGACTGCCTGCAAACTCAACAAACAAGTTCACTTAATGAAATGCAAATGCACATGANTGGGTCCTAAGTATTGACACAGAATGACAGAAAGTCAAAACCCATTTAACACAACAATACAAATAAGCCTGTGACTGCCTGCAAACTCAACAAACAAGTTCACTTAATGAAATGCAAATGCACATGATGTTAAATATCCTGAAAGTTGAGGACAGAATAAATTTTATTGCAGAGGAAAAGAATACAATTTTATTTATGTTTTCGAAGTTTTAACAGAAACAATATTCCAAAAAACAAAAGGGAACTGAAGAAGATTATGCTATTTGCAACCACACAAAATAACTGCATGACTACTGGAATTAGAAGAAAGATTTTCAGAACGGCGGTACATTGTGACTACTTTTCTTTTTTTATCAACTGGTCATTGATAATAGTGTTGTTTCACCCCCATCTAATGATAGCAGAGGCCCATGTAAGACCAGCTCCAAAACCTGCAGCTGCTATTGTATGGCCTGACTGTACCTTTCCACTCCGGACCGCTTCATCCAATGCCAACGGAATAGATGCAGCACTTGTATTACCATAATTTTCCAAATTAGAGATAACGCGTTCTGATGGGAATTTTAAACGTGTTGCCACCGCATCAATGATCCTCTGATTTGCCTGCATATGTACCCTAGTTTTTAAGTAGATAGTCTAACATGTTCATACGATAGACTTTAGGGGTGCATTTAAGCAGAGCTTTGCAAAGAAGGTTGAAGGTGCATTTTTTTACACACATTATTGATGAAGAATGATGAGTCTTTGTCAAAGTTGTATTATAAACTTACCGAAAATAGATTTCACAACACAGGTTGGGATGCTAATGGGCATTTCACTATTGAGATGAAAGTACGATGACCAGGTCAGGAGTATGCATTTTCAGGATACTAGTTTGCATAGTAATGCGCAAATACCTCCCCTTAATTTGCTACAAAAGCAATTTGAAGATGGAGTAAGTAACTCCTTTGTCTTACAACTTAGTAAAAGTATTACAGAAATGCCAGGAAATGAAAATATTAGAGGTATTTTAAAGATTCTGAGAGAATTTTAAACTTCAATATACAGAGACGCACATATTTCACCCTTTTGTCATTCACCAAGCAGGAGGCTTTGCGAACTATTGCAATGGAAATAATTGGCCATTCTTTATTACAAGTTGCTATAAAACAAGCCCCAAACGATTCCAACCATTTCCCTTAGTCTAGATACAAGCATAATAATAATGATACTAGCAATAACAATAATAATATTAGTAAAAACAAAACATAATAATACTAATAATAATAACAATAAAGAAGGAAAACAACAATTTTATCAAAAAAAAAGTATGAAAACATTAAATCTAGGAGTGGGTCTCACTTAACGATTATTTTTATGTGTAATGTAGGTCAGAAATATTTTTTTTTAATAACTTTAGATTCTATTTCATACCTGATGGAGCAGTAACCAATCAATGCTAGACCCAGTGAGACCAGCCTTCTCTAGCGCGGACTCAATCGACTGTGGCACAGCACGAACAGCAAAGCGAAAGACCTCTTTACCATTCATCTGGACGCAGGAATAAGAGGCAGGCCTTGGAGGGAAGCCTAAGACTGCCCCATTGGAACCCAATGAATAATCCGTTTCATTCTCTTTGATGGCAGCATTTAAGTTCCTATAAAAGACGGGCAGTGTTTGTCTCATTCATGCATAAAAGGGCATAGAGTTGTTCCATCAAGAAGATTACAACTCATACCTCTGGCCATCACCATCACTGTGCAAGTCAAAGCCAAATAAACCATCCTCTTCACTCTCACAGGCCTGCAGAATGGCTGTAATGTTAGTTATCTACATAACAATTACTTCCTAGCAGAGGAAGAGATGTAATTAACAGAGGTTTGGACTGAGGAGAGATACAAGATAAGTAAAGCAATCTAAAGGAATTTATCATTAAAATGAGCCAGATTATAACCCAGAAGATGATCTAGTATGGTTTCTAGGCAGATGAAATTATTTATACAACAATACTCTACAAAGAAGCAGCAGAAAGTTTTAAATTGCTGATCCCTTTCCTGTCTGTACTTAGTTTTTACTTCCATGACCATCTTGATAGGTGGTCTGCAGACTAATTATAATTGCTGTTCTCACTATGACAAAAGAGATAAATATACATATTTTGCCACCATGATATTCAAAACAAAGGAATTATTAAGCATGTGTATAACTTGTAAGTCTTAAAACCACGCTTTATATACCTTCTAGGGAAAACACTCACGTCAGATATCCACAGAGCAAATGATATTGTATCTGTATCTTTTCCGATAAATTGTCTTATTTATCAAGAAATCCAATTTCTGGAGAACTGGATCGTAGTTGTGTAAATTAGGCATTCAAAGGCCAGACAACAACATGGTGACAAGGTGATACAAATTGTAGACCCAGCCACTGCAAATCACTAACCAGGGTGAAAATGGGCTATATTTGAGAGATATTTATTAAAATTTTATCGTGAGGAACCTTGAAGTTGTAGCTTAACATCTCATTCAAACAATAGGTGCAACTAGTTACAAACCAGTGCAGAATTCCTTTTGGTTGGGTAATTATGACAAAATTCTGAAGTATGTACACTCCAAAAAGGAAATTCAAATCAAACGGCATGAATAGATTCTCAACTTGTGAAGAAAAATATTTTGCCAATCAGCGAAAGCTTTTTTTTGGCTAAATATCAAGTTTTACAGACTCTGTAAGAAGGCCCAGAAGGACCAATATAAGATTCTATAAAAACATAATAATATTGAATAACTGATCAAGAAAAGGGGTCCCACAAAATGATGGAAGATAGGAATGAAGCTACTGCTCATAGCATATATCTTGCGGAAAGTACACTACCAACCTAAGTACCTTAGCTGAAAGGTCATGCGCACTCTAACACATAAACATATGCACATGAAAAAGGGACCCCCCCACCCTTTTAGATAATTAGACTTCATAAGTACGACGGAGACACATTACCAATGATAGAGAAATGATTCCCAGAAAACAGAAGCAAAAGGAATGACCAAATAATAAGTGTCACAAGTGCTAAAGAACAACATAGAGTCCTTACCTGTATTAATACAGCACCTGCAGCATCACCAAAGAGAATACAACTACCTCGATCCATCCAATCAACATAACGAGACATAGCATCAGCCCCAATCACAAGAACATTATTAAATCCACCTCCTGCAATTTACAATGGCAGAGGTTCAATTTTTATGACCATTGAAATGGTTGTAATTAGTTTGAGGAAAAGAAAGCACTGAAACTGGTACTGAAATCTCATTGCAGCAAAGCAAAGAAATTGTTACCTCTAATATAACAAGCAGCTGACACAAGACCTAACACAAACCCGCTACAAGCAGCTGTAATATCATAAGCCAATGGATTTCCTTTGCAGCCAAGGGCCTTTGGAATCTGATATATGAAACAAAACATCAAGGAGGAACCCCTATAAATAGATTCAAGAGCCCAACATGGAAGATCCCTTTGTAATCAGGGAGTGGTATTTCATACATATTTGGAGGACAATTCAACAAAAATGAGCAGTATCATTTGCCAAGCTCACCTCACAATTCCATTTAATTTTCATAAAGCCCAAACCGCATTGAAGGATCAGTCCCTACTATATTACAATTGATAATCAAGTCTTAAGGAAACATTATAAGCCCTTAAACAATGGTGCAATATCACAGTATTTTCTTAAAGTAATTACACAGTTGACTACAGTGTCTAAGCAGTCCCTTTACCTACATCTTGAAGGAAAAACGCTAAAGTGTCTAAACGTATTTTTGGAGAAAATAAAGAGCCACTGCTTACACAGCTATGCCTCACAGAATTCTAATTTTCGAAAGTATGGAAACTGAATGTAACTTTTTAAAACTCCAACAAGAGAGCCCACTTAGCAATTGATACGAATTTATCAGTCAACACAATATGAATGCAATATCAACTGCAATGCTGCTATAAAGATCCAACAGAGGATTATTTATTTCTTTATGAATGCGGAACACATGGTGTCTCATGCATTAACCCTTTTAGTGCAATTTCAAAAAACCAATGCAGATGTGGAGTGTTTTTCAGCAAATTGACAATGAAGAGTTCTGTATCAACGAAACATTGCTTAAAGAGAGTCATGCATGGATTGAGCTGCTAGCAAGCAGCGTTAGCAAAGCTGAATAAAAGGTTCGTTTGTCAATTGAGTGAGCAAATCTTAAGATTCAGGCTCATTACTACAATACAAAAGCAGTGACTGCAATGAAGACTGCAGTAAATTTTGAAATACATTGAAGGTAGCAGGAGTACTGGATCTAGTTAATGGACAAACTTGTGCGAGGGTGCAAACAAGCTCAAAATTGGCCAACACTCTGCTGGCTGTGTCGTATATGGCACTAGCATTTTGAATCAATCCATGATAAATAATATATTTCAAAAGACATTATGAGGAAATAAAGTATGGTCCCTGTGATTAGTTGTATATTTTTAGTAAAAATACCTACAATAGCATGCATGGATATATTTGCTTCTCTTTTCTTTGTGGTTGTTAGTTACAGAATATAAAAAACACACCCACATCCATACAGTTTATAAGTATTTATTTTTGGACATAGTCTATTTATTTTAAAAAGATAAACCCATAGGGATGTCATATCTCAGTCCTACGCCAATCACGCGTGCTTAGAATGCAGAGAATATACATTCATTGATCTCAATGTCAAGGTCATAAACTACGATATTTTGTTTGTTCAAATTCTTTTTGGGATAAACATCATCCTATAGAATATACCTGAGGAGCACTTCCAAATAGATCATCTGGAGTAGATGTACACAATAAAACTAGGTCCACAGCATCGGGATCAACTTCTGCCATCTGAAGAGCTTTCTTTGCAGCCTCTACAGCCAGGCTTGTCAAGCTATCTTTCCCTGAAAAAGCATGTGCAGACTGAGGCTGTCTGGTGTTTCCAATCAAGATACTACTATTTGGCAAGTTACAAGCTTCTGAAGTTGTGATGGTAGGTAACAAGATGGCTTAAGAACTAAGTATGTCCAAGATTTGTTAAGGAAAAATACTGGTCGTTTAAGTAATTCAGAATCAAGTATACCAAAAAATGTTGATCATGGGTGGAAAAATTGCATGGTCAACTGAACAATGATCAGAATAAGGATCAACCGATCAAGTCAAAACTGAATTATAGCATGAAATATCCCCTTCGGGAAGAAACATCAGACAGTGAATTCAGAAGCCCCAAATGTCAAGTTATAAATGCCACAGAAGCCATAAGATTTTGGAGTTTACTGGAACCTAATGAAACAGGATAAGGAAAAATAGGAATTTGCAGAACTAGCTAAACCTAAACTTGCCCTGAATCTAGGCTAAAACATATAGGCTAAGATTACAAACTACGGAGTCTACAAAAATCAAAAGTCCAAACCAGAAAAGTGCCTACATAGTTTATACACAAAAAATTCACAAAGCTAACCAAGCATATCCACCTCCCCAAAGTTAAGTCTCATCTAAACATAAGCCCTTTCCTTCGGTTAACATATATTTTATCCCTTACTTGAAATCAAGCACATGATGATTTACCCTAAAAACATTGACCACGTGATGAGTTAACAAGCAAAGCTACCTCAAACGGGACACAACCAGACTGATAAACAAGCATGCACTGCCAAGAAAACTGACCTGAAAGAATTCGTCGATTGCGAATTCCAGTGCGAACAGATATCCATTCATCAGACGTTTCAACAATTTTTGCAAGGTCATCGTTGGAAACCTGGAGTTTTGGTACTGCAGAGCCACAACCAACTAGTTTGCAGCCTTTACTTATGAGCCTGCACAAATATATTTTCGAAAAAGCCAGAAAGGACAAGAAATCTTCTTTCAGATTACATAAGTTGCAACAACCACAAAACAAGATATAAGAGTTGATGCAGAAAAGAAAAAACATAAAAGCAACCAACTGAGCCCAAGTAAAGTAGGTCTAAACAACAAGCCTTTAACCCAGTAACAGAGCACAAACAATCTGCTCCATTTCCAAAATACCATTGTGGTTGCGCATGCTGATGTAAGAAAATTTTGATATGTATGCATAATTAATCTTCATATTAACCCCCAAATTAATAACAAGCCAGCCAAAAATTCTAGCCCAATGATCAGGGTACAACCAGGCAAACCAAACCCAAAAACTAAAATGCCACCCTTAGCACAAAAATCGTATTTCAATAAACAGAGGCCATCCAAATATCGTAGAAGGCATCAACATCGTTATATTCCGATCAAAACCATCCCAAGCAAGGTGAACCCAATTGACCAAATTTTTGAATTTTTTGCCAAGAGATAAAACAATTACCATTTCACCGAGCACAGCCATCGATTTCAAATCCATAGCATCAATTAGCCATTTCAATAAGAAATCACAAGAATCCAGTGCGGCCCAACAAAACCCCAAGACAATGGACCCTACTATCAATCACCAGGAAAAAAAATGAACAAACCACAAAAAGAACAGACCTGGGAACTCGAGATTCAGAAGGAGAAAGCTTATCTGCACCTTCAGTGGTGCTGGAGCAGAGTACCCTTTTGGAGATTCCATCAGAGGACCAATGCCCAGATCGATATATGCCTGTAAATGGAGGAATATTCCTCCTCCTAATACTCGGAACTGCAGGTGTAAAGCATCCAGATGCATTCGCCATTTATAGAAAGAGAACAAAATCAATTCTAGAGAAAAACTACAGAGAAGGTAGAAGAAGAAGAAGAAGAACAGCTAAGATCTTCAGCTTATTGATGAAAGTACACGAATGTGCGAATTGTTTGTTCAGCCCATTAAAACTACATACATGTGCAGGTTGGGAAGAAATTAGCAGCACAGTAAATTAGAAGAAAGACACAGAAAACAATTGCTTATAGAAAAATAGCTTTTCAACAAGCTTCGGAAGGTCCAAGATGAAAGCAATGAGCGATTATGCCAACCCAAATAGAGGGAACTCCAATGCAAATGTACGTCTAAAACACACTGTCTCTCTCGTCTCTAAAACACATTCTCTCTCTCCCTTTCTCCTCTAAAAAACTCTCTCCCTCACTCACTTGTCGCTCTATGGTGAGTTTAAGCATGAGAGTCTCTCATGCACAGCTTCGCCATTTCCAAGGTTTGATCTTTTGAATTTTGATACAATCTAAGTTCCGTCTGTTGGGTCTCATGTACTGGATAGCTGACAAGAAAGCAGATTTGGCATTTGGGTCATCCCTATTGTCTATAAAATGACAAATCTGCCCAAATGTGTTGCGTTTTTGAGTCTGGGACAGAAGAATCGAGTCCTACAACAAATCAAAATCTGTTCTTGGTTTCTTGTCACTTAATCTTCCAACAATTCACGTTGTACATACATATATGTCATACTTATATTACACATATATATACTGTAGTTCATGTTGACTTTATTTAATGTTTTTCTTGCTGGGTTGTTTATTAGTTTTAGCTCTATTCACGCAAGGACTTCTATTACCTAACTACCACAAATGCTTAGGTTTCTTCTCTTTTGTAATTAACCATGTTTACAAGTTTGAAGAATTTTTGGGAAGGATATGGTTGGGTTGGGTAGGTGGTGGGGAAGGTATGTAATTGGTAATTGGAAATGGAAGTGCACAATTGTCTTACATAGGAAGAAACAATTGTCTTACATATGAAGAAATTTTAGAAAATAGTTAATTATTTATTTGGTCCTTGAATTATATTATGTATATTAATCAACTTCTTTAAATTATGTTTTGTGTCAATTTAGTCCTTAAACTATAATATTTGTGTTAGTATGACCTTTATGTCCAAATTCTTAGTTATGTTTGATGAAATTTCTCACAACACGTGACCCTTAAATTATACTCTAATCTCCAACTTATGTGATGTGTACGAGAAGAATTTCGTCAAATTTAACCACGAATTTAGACAAAAAGGTTTGATTGGCACAAATGATATAGTTTAGGGACTAAATTAATATAAAACATAGATCAAATGTTTGATTAACACAAATAGTATAAATTTAGGAGTCAAATAGATAGTTATTTTTTTAGAAAATGTTCAAAACTGCCCATTTGGTAGAGAAATAAAGGTTTATTTGGAGATGAACATTTAAATATTGTGTGGTTGTTGCTGCCGTTGTAGGTGGCTGAATTTCTTTGTACATGTTCATTTTGGTTGGGTGGGGGAGGCTCAAGGACGATGGTTCTGGGCCAGTCCAACCCGACCCATTAACCAACAGCCTGATGTATTCATTGACAATGGGTTAGGCCTAATTGGCCCGAACGAAGAAAGGGTTAGCCAGTGCTTGGTCATCATGTATAGTGGCAGGCCATGTCTCTAATCAGAATGCTGCCTTCATGGGCCTTTAGTAGTTTAGCCCGTCAGAGAAATATACATTAATAAAGGGGAATTAAGAGGTTTATTATAAATATTAGACAAAAAAGTATCACAGATCAGTAAAAAAGTATCAAAGTCTAAAATACCCCTTTTTTTTTTATAGAAATTGAGTAGTTTCCTAAACAAGTGAGTATACCTCCAGAAGGAAAGGGAGAGATAAAATTTATACATAGTTTCACCATTATTGTCGGATTGTGTGAACTTCAAATGGGAATAACAAAAATTTCTCAAAATCACTATTCTCTGAAAATTGTCATTTAAAAATAGTTTTTTTAGGGTTTCACAGTGAAAAAGTCTGCATCAATCGTTGAAGAACAAATGATGCATTATGGAGAAGAATGACGGTTAAAATTGTTAAAGATTTTGGAAAAGAAGTTGACAACTCAAGAAAAATGTTGTTTTTCCCAACGTTTTTATTTTATCTATTTTTTTTCCCTCAACTACTTTTCTGCTTCTGGTGCTTGGTATTACATGCACACTAAGTGTTCAATCATTTTCCAAAAAAAATCAAATAAGTCATATACAACTACATTCTCACAACAGACCTTACTTGTCATCTCCATCCTCAAAACCTTCCAACCCCATATACACTATTTGATCGAACCCATAATCAACATCACCACCGCCTCACAACTCTAATTCCACTCACAAACACAATTCGACCTCTTTTGTTTGGTTGTGATATTATATAATCTTATTTACATTAGATTTACTTATTCATGATATATGTGTCATACATTTTTTTTGTGTATTGTGCCACTGTGATAATTTATTGTGCATTGCATCATGTCAATGTATACAGTATGACATTGACTTGTAGTAGTGTGACATTTGTTTATAGCAGTGTGAATTTGGCTAGTATTAGTGTGACATTGTCTTATAATACTATGACATTTATGTATACCACTATGTCAATGTGACATGTACCACTATGTCAATGCGACATGTACAATTATACAAATATGGCATGTACCGTTATATCAATCCAACTTATGTCACTGCTACTTATAAACACAATGAATAACATACATATAAATTTAAATTTAAAATATCCATAAAAAAATAATCATAACAACTAATGGTATTATATAAAATGAAAAAAATATATTCATCATTATAATTTATAAAAAAATAAAAAATAAATAAATTATACAAATGTGAGAAAGATATGAGTGTTTGAATAACTTTAATTGAATGAAATAGGAAGATATAATGTAAAATTCAAAAATGTTATTCCATAAATTTAGGAAACTTAATCTCAAATATAACTGTCAGATTTGTCTCTCATTAATAAAGGAAAGGAGCAACTCTTTTAAAAGAAAAATTTAAAAATCAACAAAAATATATCTCTTCACTAAACATATATACACAAAATTATTTATACACAAATAAATATGAAATGGTGTGCCTTATCACAATTTCCTCTTCATAAAAGTGGCCCAAGGCCCTTTCTCGCAGATACACGAACTACTCATGGACCTCCATATTGTGGATCAGATTCGGCCATGACCCAATGGGGCTTTTCAGACCAGCCCACGAGCCACGGTCTACTAATTGATATCGTTGATGTCGAGATCTATGAGAGGCGCTCTTGATATGGGCTAGATCCTTTATGGCCCTTTTTGTTTTGAACCCAGTTAAGTTGGGTTCAATGGATTTTTGTTTAGAGAAAATGGAATGTGAGTATTTTTTTTAGAACTTATTTGGCTTTAAGTATCACTTCTAAACTTATATTCCTTTAACTCATTTTTTTAATTAAATAGTTGTCAATAAGTACATATTTTAAAACATTTTTAAATTCTTTTTGAAATATATTTCATAATTACCCCTACCATAAATAGTACATACCTAATTAACAACTTTTATATTTCTAATATCTAAATATTAAAATGTGAGATTTTCAAGATTCTTTTTGATATTTGTGTTCCATTTAAATTTGAAATTTCATATATATACACACACAAAACGTATGTATATATATATATATATATATATATCAAAAGGAATTATTCGCTCAACAAAAAAATAGTAATATCAAACAGTAATATGCTCAACAAAAAAATAGTAACATTAAACAGTAACACGCTCAATAAAAAAATAATAACATATTTAAGAAAAAAATTAATTTAAAATTTAATCATTGCAATAGAGTGACACCATATATAAGTATTTATTTTATTGTGTGTGTGTCACTCTATTACAATAATTAAATTTTTGTTAAACATATTATTGTTTTGATGTTTTTTGATGAGCGTGAAGGTACAATAAAATACAAAATTCGAGTGTTTAAAAAATCGATTCCACTATATTAAATTTTTTCAAAGTATATTAACAACAAATTAATTAAATATTAAATGATTAAACAAATCATATAAATGAGTGGTGTAATATTTTGAAGGAGGAAATATATAAATAATTAAATATGTGATTGAAATGAGTAATGTGATTTGACGTTTAAGTTTAGCAAAGGGATGATGAGTGAGGTAAGTAATTAATGATGATTTTGAGGGAAAAAAATATGACTGAGATAAAGTTCAAACACATTCTTATTTTATTATATATATATATATATGTGTGTGTGTG